ACTTGTCCTGCCCGGTGCCTCTACATGTCATTCTACTTGGAGAGACTGCTGTGACTTCATGTGATGTCAGCAAAGTGTAAAAAGACACCGAATCCCACGCTGCTGAAGAAGCTTTGCTCGGAAAATGTGACAGGGTGTGAGCAGTGCAGCCCCTCTCCATGCTCCTGCTAGAGGTAAGTGAGCTGCTTGTCCACATTTTGCACCTCTCTGGTACTGTATGTGTAGTTTGCATGGAGGGTAATGATCCTGGCTGGCTGGCATTTACTAACAAGGTCTTACCTATAGCCTAGTTACTGTTGTGTGTGCTGCTTAATGAGCATTAATCTGGTACCCCTGGGTGTCATTGTTCTTTGGGGGGGGGGTTGTTCATTTGAATGTAAATAGGTGACATGACATGAGCAAGTTGCTTATTAAATTGATTTGTGTCTTCTGGAATGCAGAGAAGAGCCGTGTGACTTCCAGTCCAGAAGAGCAAGAAGTCACCAGCCATGGCCAGCTCGGCTACCCTGGAGCCAGTCATGCCCACCTGCCAATGGCTAGAAGGGAGGACCGGGGCGTCCAGCACCCCCAAGACCCTGGCCTTCTCCATAGAGAGGATCATGGCCAAGTCCTCGGAGCCCAGACCTGCCTTCTTCGAGCAGAGCCGGGCGCTGGCGGACGCAGCCGACGCCAAGAAGCTGCTGAACCTGTGCTCCCCCATCCCATGCATGATCCCGGTGCAGTCCCTGGGCTACGACGTCCATTCCAAGACCCTGCTGAACTACTCCGAGATCTGGAAGAGCACTTTGAGGGCTCCTGTGTGCGGCTCCCCCGGCTTGTGCAAGCCCAACTGTGCCATGTGCTGCAAAAGCGACTTGAACCTGCATGGGCACTCGGTGGTGCCAAGCAGCAGGGTGATCAAACCTCAGGTGATCAACCAGACGGTGGGCATGCCAGGGACTAACGCCCCCCTCTACTACTTCAACTACCTGGACTCTACCTACAGCCCCTCTGACCTCCTGAGCGGACAGTTCATCCCTTCCAGCGTTCTAAACGCTCAGTCCCAGGCGTCGCTCAGCGCTCACCACAAACTCTACCTGCTGGAAAACGCCAAACTCTCCGGACTGTCCCCAGAAAAGTTCCCCATTGCCCAGTACCCGCACAAGGAGAGGCTGCCCGGGCAGCTGGACCAGGTGATGAAGGAGAACACGGCGCTGGCTGTGGACAGGAACCCTAAAAGCCACACCAAACTTGGTGCCAACCCTTTAGATGGCAAGCCCAAAATCTTCACCTGTGAAGTGTGTGGCAAGGTAAGGAGAGCCCACAGTGTGTGTACAGGCGATGCCAGAGCAATGTGTCCAAGCTAATAATTGTATAGGAGAGGATATAATATGATATCAAATAACTATAAAATAGGAGTTTATCATTTATCTTACTATGAAGTAATTTATGTCTTTTATATGTCAAATAATGTCAATGTAACACATGTGAGAGAAAAAAAAATAATAGTAATAGAATTTTTTCTATATAATGCACTGCTAACTATTCTACTTTATTATACTATATATATATACACACATACGGGGCTTATATTTTATTTATATTTAACATTGTACATTTTAACTAGCAGTGTATATATATTACTTTAATACTATTATAAGTGGATTTGTAGATATCATATAGAACAGATCATTAAAGAACTGTGTACAATGTTACTATTATAGGAATACATTTGTAGATAGAGTTGTGCATATCAAAGTTTATTATAGTATTGTGTATACTAGGACATATAATAGCTTAATATAGTATTTTCTATCCTACATTACTAACAGATTCGTGTATTTGTAGGCAGTATATTTGATATAACAGTTTAATATGGTATTTTATAAAAAATACTTTACTATGTGAGTGTTTTTAAATGGTGTTGCATATTCCAATATAATTTAATATAGTGTAATGTAATATAATATAATATTGATTAAATTCCATCTATATATAGATATATCTATAAGAATATTATATTATATAATTATTCTACTTTACTAGTATAGTGTATTTGTAGTTTTGTATGTATAAAACAGTTCAATCCAGTTTTGAATTTTTCTACAGTACTATTATAAGAGTGTATTTGAATATAGTGTGGTACATTTGACTATAATGTAGTATTGCATTATTCTACTTTATTTCTTTAAGATTGTCTTTGAATATAGCGTTGTATACATAAGTATTAAAGTAGTAAAATATTATACTACTTTACTACTATAGGAGTGTAGTTGTATATAGTTTTGTATACAGAGTCTTGCCCAGAGTCTTGTACCATTCGATTTTAATACAAAAGAATGTTTGTATATCGTGTTGTTTATATAACAATATGATATAGTATAACATTATTTTACTTTACTACTATATTAGTGCATTTGTATAGTTTTGTACCTATAAAACAGTATAATATAGTAATACGTTCTTTTACTTTATTACCATATTGTTGCACTTACATAGTTTTGTGTATATATATAGATAGATAGATAGATAGATAGATAGATAGATAGATAGATAGATAGATAAGATGATGATGATGATAGGTAAGATAACATTGTAAAAGCTTTTATTAGAATGCTATGAGTGTGTGCTTGTATAACACAATGCACATACTACTCCTACATACTGATACAGTAACATAAGAAATATAATACAAAGTTTCACATATTTTAATATCATATAGTGACGTCACATCACGATATGATGAAATGTATCACATCCACGGTTTTTTTTTTATTTATTAATTATCATATACCAACACAGTATAAACACTTCTCTGCACTGACTGTCTCCCATATTCACCAACATAAAATGTTCCTCACTAGTTCAGATGACAGGAGATTAGCAGAAATCTGGGGAATCAGCGGTTGTCAGTCAGAGTGGCACTACAAGTCCCAGCATTCCTTTGTCATGTAGAAGCTGCCGCAGTTTGCCAGTTTCAGCAGAAAATCTCGATGATACGATAATTGCAAATAGCTCCCCCACTGAGCTGCAATCATGATTTTCAAATATAGAATGGAATGGTTTCACAGCGTGAGATGAAAGGGGCAGTAATCCTAATAACAGAGCTTACAGGGGTCAGGGAGCCACACATTATATATATATATATTTATTTATTTATTTTACTTTTTTAGCTTAATTTTTCTTTAACTTTCTCCTACCAGGTCTTTAACGCCCATTACAACCTCACCAGGCATATGCCAGTACACACCGGGGCCAGGCCGTTCGTGTGCAAAGTTTGTGGCAAGGGATTCAGACAGGCCAGCACCCTGTGCCGA